TATAGGAAATGTGAATAGGCCAGGGCAGAATGGGAGATACCATAACTGTTTAACACACGTTTGGTCAAAGTATCGGCTTCACTTGTCTCTGACGAGTTGTAATATGGTGCTACGAATGGTAAAACTCACTGACGATGCCGACTGCGATGCCGGTGAAACGTCTGGGAATGTACCGCGTCCACGGTCCGACTTTGGAAATAATTATGCATACAATGGACTGAGGACAAGGTGCGTTCCTATAAGTCTTCTTACCAACATGACCAAGTTGCGAAAACAAGGTCAAACAACTCCAGCATCAGTTTATGATTTTTCCTACTTTCGATTTAAACTGGCCTTAACAATCAGTTCAGTAGAATATTGCATCTAACGGTATCTTCAGGTTTATCTTACTGAGACGTGTATTCTCTTAGCTATGAATGCCATTATGCGGTGGCGTCCTTTTTAGTCACAGTCTACTTTCGCTACTTAGGAGTGGTCTCACCTGCTTTTCGCAACTTGGCCGTGTTTTCAGGATGATCTAGTTTGCCACACCCTGTCCGATGTCCTCTGCTCTAGTAGTTATGATAATTCACAGCGCCTCACCGTGGATTTGGCACATTCCTAGACGTATCTCACTCTTTGTATCAGAACTTCCGACTTATTTATGCTCTACTCCTTTAGAGATGTGCTCATTTTGGCGCGTTCAATGAGGCACTATAACACCTGCTTGTTTATCTTGCTCCCACTCTCTCGATTTGCTGGAATTGCTGATACCACTTTGGCATCCCATCCAAATCTCCCTAATGCCCCAGCAGATAACTTTCTTATCTTACTATTTGATTCATTTTACTTGGTTTCTTTCACGGGATACGTTTAGTGACATGATGTTACATTTTGAAAGAATGGTTGGTTGGAAGGAATTTGTGATGTGGTTTCACTGGAAACCATACGCGTTTGAGGTCTAGCATCTTGCTTGAGAAGTGCTTCCATTTTCCACTTCTCCCTGTTTACACATTGTTACAGAAAATCCTTAAGTCTGACTTTAAGGCCTCTTATCGAGTACTTGTATACTTTTTGATCGTCTAATACCTCTAACATTTTCTCTACATACTCAGTCCTAACCATAACTACTACTTATAAGCCAACCCACAAACGTTCTGGATCAACATTGAACCTAATCAAAGCCAGCAGTACCACAATATTTGTGGGTTGGCACACAAGTAACTAGGGCATGGCAAGTCATAGACTTGGTATTAGGGATAGAGACAGGATAGACGAGGCGGTGCTTGGAGCTAGTTGACTGACAGTAGGTTTTATAGGAGACGTGGTCCTTGTGGCAAAGGCATGACCATGAGACTTAGTCTGAGGCTTTAGCCTCGAATTAGTCACTCAGACGCAGGGTAGGGCTAATAACGACAGCGTGGAATGTGAAGAGTTTTCATGAATGCCGCTCGAAGGAGCACACCACTCTACATCTCAATAAGCACGGTAAAAATTGTGACAGGGACGGCATGATAGGAGGATATAGGAAATGTGAATTGCTTAGGGCAGAAGGGGAGATGCCACAACTGTTTAGCACACGTTTGGTCAAAGGAAGGCCTTTACTTGTCTCTTTGATGAGTTGTAATATGGCGCTACGAATGGCGAGACTCACTGACGATGCCGGCGAAACATCTGGGAATGTACCACGTCCACGGTCCTACTCTGGAAGTGATGATGCATACAATGGACTCCGGACTAGGTGCGTTCCTCTAAGTCCTACTAATATGACCATGTCGCGAAAACAAGGTCAAACAACCTCTAAGAATTTTTGTCATGTTTTTTTGTTATTAAGTCAGAGATCCTACGTGATTTCTTGCCGGCTATCCTCTTGAGTTTTTGAAAATCTATCCGATTTAGAATCCTGGCCACATTACACCCGAGCTTTGACTTAATGTCTATTAGCTTGGTTTATTTATCTCCCTATATTACGTTTTTCTTCACTTTTGAATGGAGGCCTGGCGAAGAATCTCATTAACTCCATCCTAGTAGTAATGTCTCCTAAGATCGCAGAGTCCAGGAGTGATACCATTAAGTTTACGACAGTTCAGAAAGGTCAGGTGACATGTTTGATTTACAATTCTTTTTGTCCGGCTGTATTTAGTACATTCTATGGGAATCTTACTTCCATAGTTAAATGGTAGATAGGAAAATAAAGATGTTATGACTTCTGTTTCGTTCGTACTCTCCTCTTGATGTTTAGAAGGGGTCTGACCTTTTTGAAACTTGGTCCTATTGTTTAAGAGCCCTATTTGGATGCACCTTGTTCAAAGTCATCTGCTATAGTAGTTATAATAGTTCCTAGCGTTGAACCATTGACTTGGTACATTCAGACGCTTCGCTGGCATCGTCAGTGAGTCTTGATATTCTTAGCATCAAGTTAAAATTTGTCAAGGCGACAAGAAATGATTTATTTCTCAAATATCTCATATCTCACAAATAGATGACACGATTATTTAACTTTTTCATGTATGTATGAAATATTAATCCGCCATAGTTATGCAATCCCACTCTGTTGTGCCATTACTCTCGACGGCAACAGCAAGTCCAAATGTTAGTTAAACTACATTTTATTTTCCCTCTGGTATTCTGGTATTGTATCTTATCATGTCTCATTTTGTCTTTTTAATTACAACTACATTCTCTTCGGTTATAGGAACGTCAACGCGCTTCCGAGTTAGGCTATCCAGACCCGATTTGTTCCAGCTATCAGGAAACTTCTCACATGTACGAAGCCTGTCTGGAGGCTGCGTTCGAAGCCATGAAATCTCGAGCAGTCGGCGCGGTCTCCATAATGGCTGCAACGCACAATGAAGAAACTGTCAAAATGGCGGTAAATAAGTAAGAATTTCCACTCTTAAGCTTTGTTTTATTTTCCTTATATTTCTTAACCAAACTTCTGAGCTAGACATTACAGCCCTCAATGTACTATACATAATAGAAAATTTAGTTTTCTTTTAATAAACTTTGAATTATGAAATAAAATTAAAAATGCTTTTGGCGTCTCAGGACCTCTTCTCAGCCCTTCTAATTACTATATTTTTCTCAACTTTAGGCAAAAATGTATCCTGTAGTATAGACTAAAATGAGCTTACCGCCGGACCAAGTCCATGGTCCAATGCTGGGAATTATGATTATTATAACAGCCTTTAGCTAAGTCACCCTGACAACATGATCCGGTTGCGAAAAAGAAATCTGGCCTTTTTTGAAATGAGCTCAGCCTAATATCACACCGCCTGGAGATTGAGCAGTTTTCTGCCACCAGCCTCTTTCCTTATTCCATCTTGCGATCTATTGGTTGTCAGTACCTTTTTTTCGTTTAAATTACACATGCCAAATATATTTAAATACTTTATTGTGCCTGTGGAGTGAGATGCGTAATGCATATTACAATTTGCTCTTTTGTTTTTCTGACTTATCATTTATTCACGAGCTAGCTGCCCTAAGCAGCTCTTTCGGCCTTATCGCATTCTCACATTATTATCGACGTATATCAGTTGTAACTGGCTTTTTACTGGACCCACTCGAGTCTGCTCACAATGGATTGAGATAATGCTTTATTTTGCATTAAACTTAAATTTCCATAAATCCCTAAAAGTATCCGTTCACACATCGAATTGCAGACTCTACCGCGCCCC